TGTTCTCCCTTTAACCCTGACCCACAAACTCTCTGTGGACTGCTCACCTGTCCCCAGACACAGTTCCATACTCTCCAGCCTATCCCTAACATAAATAGCAACTCCCCCTCCCTGTCTGTCTGGCCTGTCACCTTCCATTCCAACATTCTAGTCATAGGAGCCATCCCACCATGTTTTTGTGATACCAATGGTATCATCTCCATAGACGTGCACACATCTCTAATGCCTCGTTTGTTCCCCATACTACAGGCGTTTGTACAGAGGCATCTGAGCCGAGCTCCAAATGAAGCCAGCTCATTGGCTGGAGCAGCTGAAATAGCTCTACATTGCTCCCAGCATTTATTATAGGTGCTGGCAACTGACTGGGAGTGTTGGGATGGAATGATGTACGCCCCCCCAACACATTTAGTTTAAAGCTTTCTTGACTAGCCTGCCAAGCCTCCTACCAAAACCGCTCTTCCACTTCGTTGTAGACCAGCTCCACCAGTCCCCAGTAGATCTGGCCTCCCAAATTGAGTCCCATGTTCTAGATACCCAAACCCCTGACTATGACACCACTGTTCTAACCATTTATTAACCTGCCAAATCTGCCTAGGCTTTTTAAGGTCCTCCCTTTTATCCTGGAGAACCAATGAAAATACTATCTGAGCACCAGAGCCTCTAATCACCTCTCCCAGGGCTCTGTATTCCTTCTTAATGTTCTCCGCAGTACTGCTCTCTATATCAGTAGCACCCACATGGACAACTAGAATAGTGGGACTTACTAGATCAGGCAGCCTCTCTGCAACATCCCTGATCCAAGCCCCTGGTAGGCAACACACCTCCCCTGAGACTGGGTCAGGCCGACAGATGGGTGCCTCTGTGCCTTTCAAAGTAGAGTCCCCTAGTACTACAACCCAATGCTTTTTCCTGGCAGCACCAATAGAGATCTTCCTTTACCGGTGCATCAGCTGCTTGCTCATGATGCAAATGCATTTCCTCATTAGGTCCCTGCAGAACTGCAAAGCTGTTCTGGGTGGGGACATCAGATGTAAGAGGAAGCCCCTTGCTTTTAATTGTCCTCTTCCTCCTTCTTTTGTTGCTTTTTTTTTTTTTTTTGGGCTTTTTTTTTTTTTTTTTTTTTCCGTTCCCAGCTTCCTGTGTTAATGGCCTCCTTTTTTCCTGCATGAACTACGACAGATGCTTGAGGCCCCTACACAGTCTGGCCCTGTAGCAAACACTCCTGCTTCCTCTCAGCTTCCCTGACATCTTTTAGCCTATTGACCACATCCCGCAGCTCAGCCCCTAATGCAGGAGGGCCTCAGCCAGAGCTCACTGACTGCAGCCCTAACCATTGTGCACCCTTGCCTCAAAAGACCAGGGCAAGCATTCTTCACACTCTGAGCTCTGCTCCACAGCTTCCTCTCTCATCGGCTCTGTCTGGGTGTCTATGCTGTCCACCACCGGGACAGGCAGCGCAGAGCTCCCAGACCGGGCCCTGGTCATGAGCTCAGTGCTCACCACCCCGCTCTCCCGCCTGCCCAAACTGCTGCGCCACGTCCAGTTCCCTGCGCTCCCTGGGGCAGGTTTTTACCCACTCAGGGCTGGTGCCGCTCCTCCTGGCTCCGCCCCCTGTGAGTCAGCTGCTCGCGTCAGCTGAGCTGCCGGCTCCTGGACAGGTCCTGTCGAGGACTTGAGGCTCCCTCGGTGGTCCCTGCTGCTCTGAGTTGAGGCTCCTGAACGCTGAGTTTCCCCCTGCTCAGGTGTTGAAGGCGATCTTTCTTGAGCTACTCACCTCAACAACTGAGGTGACCAGCAACCTATTTATTACTCATCAGAATTTCACAGCACCAGAGAATTATGTGATGCACACCATAGAAGACCTACCATCCATGGAGAAAAATCCCATTAAACACTAAAAGAATTCAACTGATCTTGCAAATGGTCTTAGGCTCATGCAGGGAGGATAATATTTCCTGAAGAAACATAACAGATTTTAAGTTATCTGCCTAGTTACAGTAACTAAAATTTCAACAATTGTTGAAATAAACAAGTATGTATCTTTATTCCACTGATATCCCTAATATGAAGCCATATTAACAGACCATTTTTTTAGTTCAGTAAGCAAATGCTGGTAGATTATTTTAAGAATAAAAGGATTATTGTGAAGGATTATTGTGAAAGCAATTACCTGAAGCAGTAATTGTATCTTCATTGCAGGCTTTTATTATTTTGTCTGTACAAGTCTGAATAACAGCGTATCAAACAATAAACTCTAAGTTCAGGATTATCTGCACTCAAAAGTTATTTTACAAGCTATGCACTGGAACAATTTAGCAACCATATTCATTTTATGGCAACAAAGTAGTAGTGACACAGACATGCAACGCTGTTACTTTGAATACTAAAGAGCTCTAGAACTTCAGTAAGTACTTACCATATAGACATTCTTCACAATTCAGAAAAAAAACACCAGTATTTACTCCATACTATACATGCCCATTGAAGATACACCCTCAGACCTACATATTCAGATTTTTAAGCTGTACATTTTCCTACCAATTTTCTCAAGAACTGTGTTGCTCTTTAAAAGCTTTACTGGATTGACAATTTATTACAGAAATTAATTCTACATAACAATGCACATGAGTAATACTTTTGCCAAACTTGAGAACAGTCTTCTTAGGGTATGAAATAGAATCACAGAATAGTTATGGTTGGAAAGGATCTTGAGATCATCTAGTTCCAATACCCCCCCCCCCTAAATAATAGATAATATTAAGGTTAATTTCACACACCAAATTCTTCTGCATTCTGTTAATCAGTAGGTGGTTTTGATCTTTATCTCACATCCCTCCCTATTCCTATCTTTTTTAAGTCTATCAACTCTAAACAAGAGTATCATATTCAAAAGACAGCACCAATCTGGTAGGAAGCTTATTTTGTCTATTTAGAATGAAACCTGGTATTTCCCAGTAAATGACAAAAGCATGCTCAGCAAGCTGGTGAAAAACACCTGGTCTTTCTCTTCAGGCACCAACAGCTATCCACTGAAGCAAGGCAGAGTTTTTTTAAGTGGCTTTCATTAGAGCGTTTTCTGTTTGTTTTTTTCCCTGTCACAAAATATTGTTTCCAGAAGAAAAGGATATACACAAAATACTGAAGTTAAAGGTATATTCTTTTAGAGGGTTAGACATTTTTCACTTTATACTGCCTTTCAGAGCATACAGACTGTCCATTCATGTCTTTCTTCCACCACTTTAAACCCCAACTCTGAAACCCATTAGCTGACCTTTATGGACGTAAGAGGATTTTCCTAACCCAGGCTTTGACCGCAAGCAGAAGTCTACAGTGATTTTCCACTGGGTGCTATACCAGACTTTTTTCTTCAATCTATTTCATCCCTCGTACAGGGTGATCTAAGCGTGTAGATAGTTCACGGAACGGCATAAATCACAATTACTGGTTTTCGGAACTGCACCCTTGAAGCCGCACGGCTTCGGCTTTAGCAGGTATTTGCAGAGGTCAGCTCCAAGCTCTCCAGCCGCTGCAGGCTAGCGGGAGGGCATGTAGCAACCTCCCTGCCGACCCGATGACCCGGAGCGGGTATCCCGAGCACCACCGATCCACCGCCCCACGGCCCAGCAGGGCAGGCAACCCAGCCGGCCGCGCACCGCCCCGGCCCCCGCCCAGCCCTCCGGGAGCGCGGCTCCCCGGCCGCTGAGAGGGCTCCCGCCGGCGGCGGCCATCACCGTGCCAACAAGCCCAGAAGGCTGAGAGACAGAGCAGCGCCCGCTGCGCTCCTGTCCCCCCTCACGGACACCGGACGCGACCCGCCTTCCCCACCGCCAGCAGGACTTTCCCCCTCTTACCGGAGCAGCCGGGAGAACGCACCGTGCGCGGAGCCCGCAGCTAAGACGGGCCGCGGCTAGCCCCGCGGCTCGCACCGACAGCGAGCCGCCTCCGGGAGCAGCGCTCCGCCGCCAGTGACGCGGCAGTGCAGAAAGCCGCCGTGCTGGAGAAGCTGCGCGCCCAGGCTATGGCTCTGCCGCTACCTCCTCACAGGGACGACCAGACAGACACCAGCCGCAGCAACGCCAGGACGCGCCCCGCACAAAGATGGCTACGCGCAGCGTCTCCGCCGCTCATATGAGCATTGCCCCGCACAAAGATGGCGGAGTTAGCCTCTCACCCCGCCTTACCCGGTCTTCCGCAGGAGGAGATTGCCCTCTGTAAAGATGGCCGATGCGCACTCCTAGCGGAGGGGGTCACCCTCACGTGGCAGCGGTAAGGGCTGCCTCTCGGTCGACCTCAACCGCTCCTCGGTGGCCCGGAAGCAGATCGCCGGCCGGTCTCTTGAGCAGCTGCTGGTGCGGGGAGGGAGGGAGCCACTCGCGGGGGGCTGTGGCTCCTGCCTGCGGCCCCTGCCCGGCGCTCGGCAGGTAACCGGGGGCGGTAACTGTAGGGCGGGACTCGGCTCACGGAAAGGCGCGCCCCCCTTTGCCTCGGTGAGAACGGAGGTTGAGGGGAGCGGGGGGCTGGCATCTCGGCTGTGTCCGTCGCCAGCCCGATGCGCCGCAAGGCTTGGGCACCCCTACCACGGTGCCGGGGCTGCTGGGGCTGCCAGGCCTGGGGAGGGGCCGGGCCGGGCGGAGTTGGCTCCTGCCCACAATGGGACTAGCTGCAGGAGCGGGGTCCGCTGTTCCTCCGCGCCCGGCCGGACCGTAGTTCTTGTCTCGCTGCGGGGAGAGGCTCCTGTCCCCCAGGAAGCAGCTCCGGGCAGGGTCGGCTGAAGGGACACAGCCCGTGGGCAAGGCTGCCAGCGCCCTCGGCGTGGGGGCCCGCCCTCTGCTTTCAGCTCGCTCCGTGCCACAGTTGGTGGTCTTGGATGTTACGGACAGAAGCTTAGCATCAGCGAGTTACGGGGAAGGGTCCCTGTTAACGGGGGAGATTATGTCAGGGTATAGTGTTTGTTCGTCATTGTGTCTGCAATAAAAATGAGGCTTTTGAATGAGATAAACTTAAGGCTGCTGTCAGATCTTTTAACTCTCTTAGCTAGCAAACAGGTTCTTCCAACAGTATTGAAATGGGATTGTTGTCATGTATGGATTTAGAGAATATAAGAAGTGAACTGTCAGCTGATAAAAGCAGGCTGAGTCCTCTGTAGATCCTGGTTATACATGCACAGGTGTCTGCACAGAGCAGTGTGAAGGAATGGGGCCTAAACTGAATCAGCAAATTCACTGTCTCCTCATGAAGCACAAATCTCCAGTCAGAAACATCAATCAAACAAGTCATATACATGTTATTTAAGAGATTCTCACTTGTAGGAGAAAGCTATCTGGGCTTTTATTGCATAACTTAGTATATAACCTTTATTTGACAGAGTATTCTGGAGACCACCTGTGACTGTTTTCAAGATAGTGCCACTTAATGAGGTTATGGGAAAGAAGGAGCCATGTCAGAAGAAGCTGTTACTGAGGCACGATTTTCTCTGAAGACAGTAGCCTTACGGGTATTTCATCTTCCCCTTTCCTGGTATCATTCTCTCAACCAGGTAATGTATATTATTGAATTATTGTCACTATTGGTGTACATTTAGAAGTTTAATACTTTTAATTGTAATGTTGTACTTGCTCTTCTGAGCCTTGTGTGAATTAGATTTGTACAGAATACATTGATTTTTAGTTTATTTAGAGCATTGAACCGAAGCAGGGTTTTTTTTTTTGTCTTTTTCTGCTAATAAACACAGTGCATCATCATACGTCAGACTGAAGAGGTTGCTTTATCTTCAGTGTCAATGTGTCTTCATTTTGCAACAGCACAATAGCTCTCATCAAGTCAAATACCAAAATCCTCAAATTGTCTTTTTTTTCTGTAGAAGCTTTTAGATATTTAAAAATTAAACATAACTATCATTAAATGTTGAATAATAGTATTGAGTGTAGTCTGAAATACTTTCTAGGTTGCCAGTGGCACTTGTCAAATTAATCTGAATGATAAGTGGCACGTTACTGTGTTTATTTGACTTACAGAAAGAGCTTCTTCAAATAAAATGCTAAGGCTCTACTAATCATAGTGTTTCCTTTTACAGATGGCCCTGAAGTGACTTATTTTCTTTCATTGATATTACAGGCTAGTTTTAACTAGCAACATGGAATGCAGTAACTCACGTGTAGGTGATGAAGAGTAACTTATGAGCTTGGTTTAAGACTGACAAAAGCTGGAAGTATTGTGAAGCTGATACTTCTTGTCTGCAGGGAGTTATAAAATTTGTCCCTAGAGCACCTTCATGTCAAAGGCAGGGAGGAGGAGCTGTAAGTTGTGTAGTAGGGGTCCAAAGAGAGGTGTTAGTTGCCTATGTGGAAGGCATCTATGTGTATGCCTAACCGTATACGTGATAAACGATAGACTGAAATGTTAGAATTACTTGACAAAGTATTAAGTCTTCAGTCATATCCCTCATTTCTTGAAGAGTGAACCACATTCTGATGCTGTAATACACGGGATGAAAAAAAAAGGCTTCTAGCTGGTTGTACAGAATATGATTCAGTAGGGTTTTTTTCTATTCTTTGTATGATGAATCATTGACAAAAGTAACTAAAAGAAAAAAATGTTTATAATTAGGAATGCCAATAATAATTTTTAAAATAGCTATTAGCAGGTCCTAATAAACTTCTGCCTTTAAAACCCATGTCTTTAATCTGACTATTTAGTTTTTATTGAAGTGGATGCTTGTAAGCAACAGCTATGTAATTTTTCAGATTTGCATGTATATGCTTTTCAGAATTTTACTGCATATAAAACCACAATCAGCTGCATCTGATAATTTTCTCATTTTTCTGTTTTTACTTTACAATTCTCACTGCAAGATCACATATTTCTTTTTTTACATTGCAGCATATTCATGCCCTTTTAAAATACCATGTGCAACTCTGTTACGAGCATCTATTAGCTTTCCTTTCCTTAGAGGTTTTCATTTCACTGTTAATTTATTCATGAACATGTTTTAGGCACAAATTAAAAAAGAATCCATTTGCAGTTCTATGAAACTTTAGTTCTAGCATTTAATTTTATGAACTTTGAAGTTTTAATCTCAGGTATTTGGTTATTAACTCTTTTCTGTGTTTGTGCCGCGTGTCAGGAGTTTCCTTCTTGCAGAGTACAGTGCTAGGTTTTTCAGCCTTGGTAAAGATACAGTACTACTAAGGACAGGGCTCTCAAGTGGTTTTGACTAGTTGATTGCGAGCTCCATGCAGAGCAAAACTTTCAGTGCTTTAAATTACACAGCTCTGATAGTATTAATCAATTGCACAGCAACCAGTGACTGCCCGAGTGCAGTGGTACTCTGTGTGACCAGCTCTCCTCTTGTATGAGGAAACGTGTTTCAGAAACACCATATTAGCCCCAAGGACTGTTTTCTCCCAGCAGTCTTGTTTCTCAAGCAGCATGGGTTTTCCAAAGGTTTTGTGAATGTGGACTCCATTTTCCAGTTAAATGGCTCTTTTCTTGGTTTTATATCTTGTAACTTTGAATTTTATAAACTTTGTTAATGACTTTTCATTCCAGTTGCTCATATATGTGGTTCTTCTTTACTAATTTAAATGTCTGTAAACCCATGACTGATCTATATCCAAAATAAAATGTAAGAAATAATAAAAGACGAAAAAGCTTTAGAGAAATGTGTTTAGGTACATGATCTTCCCAAATTGAAACACCATGCAAATATTAGCTTATGTATCTTTTATTCTTTCACAGTGCAAGTGATAGTCTAGTTGTGAAGGGTGAGTTTCTTCTCAGTACTTTTTTTGCTGTGAGAGAATTAATTGAAGCCCTGTATTGTCCTGACATTGAAAATAAATCAATTAAATAAATTAAAAAAAAATAATTCTGAAAGTCACTTACTTAGATCCCTGTAGTTCATGGATTTGCAATATACCTTATAGTTGTTGGTGCTGCAGTATGACTCTCAGTGCAGCCACTCTCTTTGTTGCACCAGCCACTTTGTAAACCTTGTCACCTTCTGGCCATCACAAATTTTGAGAAGCAGTTAGTTGTGTCCTTACTGGGTTGCTTCACAGTCTGTGTAAGAGCAGCATCTCTTATCTCCCTGAGACGAGCTATAGCCTATGTTGAACACTGCCAAGGGAGAGTAGGAGGAAGGGTGGGAGTTAAGGAGCCTATACTTCTAATGAAGTCACAGTCTTTTTTTCAGCTAAAGCTCTCACCTGGGTTAAAGAAGCTTTTCACGGTAACAGCAGTGAGTACGATATCTGTTATTTTTCTGGCCCATCACTTTAAAAGAAGACGTGGAAAGAAAAACAAGAAAGTGCCAGCATGGGAACCAAGTCATCTGGTACTAGAGTGTACTAAAGCAGCTGCATCAGAAAAAGGTAGTGAAGGACCCCCCAAGTATTCTTTTTTTTCTTGGAGGGGAGGAAAAGGGGTGTGGGGGGAGCTGTGTGCATAATTCTGTAGTAGTAAAACAAACTGTTTTCATTTAATGATGAGTAGGTTTGAATTGTTAAAGTAGAAAATGTGCAAATTAGGAGCAAAATTACAGTGTCTTAAAGTAAGCTGGTCTTGTTCTCAAAGGTGAAGTTTTAGTCATGAATTGGAATTAAAACTTTTTTTGTTGGTAGTGTATTAACAGTCCAGTTTGCCATCTTGTGGATATACCTCAATACCAAGAAAAGCAAATTTAATTTTTTATAATATGGGAAAATAATTGTGCTCAAATGCATGGTTATTGTTACAGATATTGACTGTTGTCATTTATAGTTTCTCATGTCGAAGTGTAAATACAAGAATAATTGTTGCTTGATTCTAAACTGTATTTTATTGAAAAGAGTAAATGCAATTCTTGATCGAGCTTGCTAATGAAAAATATGTTATTTTGAGTTTGCAGCGGCTTTAACATCAGTGTATCTCTTAGGTTCTAGTTGTTCCAGTAGTCGGCAAAACTTGACCCTTTCTCTGAGCTCTGTGAAGGAAAAAGGATCTCAGTCTTGTATCTATGCAAATGGAGGACTTTTCAGTAAATGCTCTGGTTCAGTTCAAAGCCTGGCCTCGGTAAGCAAAACTGTTTCAAGGCTCTTCAGTGTCTACTAACCTGCACCGAGTATGTACGTAATGGTTTCACTGGGCTGAAACAACTTTCTTGAGCAAGCAGTGCAGGTGACTAGAGGTGGTGAGAAGGCCATTGTACTTATTAGTTAAAAACAGCTTCTAGGCAGGTAGCTTGGATATACTGTGCTCTGGAGGAATGTAGTTTTAAGGACATCCCGTGCAACATCATTTCAAATTTTGTTCATTTTCTTCTTAAGGTTCAGAGTGCCACTTCTTGCCACAGTTGTGCTTGTGGCAATTCAAATTCCTGGGATAAAGCAGATGAAGATGATATTAAGCTTGTCAACATTCCAGTGACCACACCTGAAAATTTGTACTTGATGGGTAAGTCATAATAAGGACATTCATTATCTACTAACAATGAATGTAAATGATTTCTTGGGTTTATGGCAAAGTGACACACAATATTAGTGTGGTATCCTTTCACAGTATCCTGTTGGCATGCGTTTAAGAACACTTCCATAAAATTATATCTTACTTTATCTAGAGAATAGATATTGTTTCATTCCTGTATTTGTAGCAGTAATCCATCCAATTATTTAAAAAATAAATAGGAAAAATACATTGAATGTTGTTGCTTTACTTGTAAACTCCTTTGTCTTATTAAAAAGGCAGATATATTTTTTAATTTATTTTTTAGACTGGAAATCAATGTTGTTTTGAAAGCTTACATCTCTGCTATGATCATGCTTATTAGCTACAAAGTTTCCTAATGCTCTAAAATGCACAGACATATGGAAGCTGTGTATTTGATGGAATGGAGGTATTCCTAATCTTCCCTAGGTATGGAGCTTTTTGAAGAAGCACTGCGCCGGTGGGAGCAGGCACTAACTTTCCGTAACAGGCAAGTTGAAGATGAAGCAAGTTGTGGTTCCATTAAGCTGGGAGCAGGAGATGCAATTGCAGAAGAAAGTGTAGAAGTGAGTATACTGAATCTGTAATCTACTGCTGCTGCCCTAACAATTCATTTGACTTTGTTACCTGAACCTTTTCAACTTCTGATTCAATTACCCATACTGAGAATGGATTAAAATTAGTGGTATTGCATTTAAAGGAAATCTAGTTTTGTTCCTTTTGATTTCTTTGGTTGGTTATTTGGAGGAGGGTTGGGGGAGAGAATTAGCATTATTTATTTTTTGGCAATCACTGTTGCATCAGTGTTTGCTTCTGGATGGTATTAACAAGCTACCAAGTATACTAGTTTTCTCCACAAAATCCCTTGGGTCATCCCTTTGTTTTATGACTATGTGAGAAGATATCTGCTTAGCAAAGATAAAGGTCTTGGGAAAGATGATCAATTTATGAGTAGTCACAAATAATGTGCATGAACTTTTTTTATATTCCTTTGTTCTTATGAACAAAATGCTAAAAATGCTTTGAAATAAGCATACACATATGTGGCTTTCATTATTTCTAGTGCATTAAACATCACAGGTAAAGTATTTTAAAATTTAGACTTTATTTCTATTGAACTAAATAATACAAATGTATGTTTCAAAAAGTGTGTATATTTTGGGTGTTGAAGTATTCATCTGTGCCAGTGGCACGGTCTGATCTTTAGAGGCTTAATAGTCTTAGATTTTACAAAGGAATCTTACAGGCTATAAACAAATAGGAAATATTCTTATGTCTGTGCACTTGCAGGATATCATTAGTGCTGAATTCATTCATAAGCTCGAATCCCTTCTTCAAAGAGCTTACCGTCTTCAGGAGGAGTTTGAAGCCACCCTTGGGGTCTCTGATCCTGCTTCTCTAGGTAATGATATTGGTGAGTACTCCTATTTTACATTTTTATTGGTTGTAATAATAACTCTTGGAAGGGGGAAAGTCAATGAAATATTGAGTCATGAATTTATCAGTAAATGAAGAGAAAAAAAAAATCAGGATCTTTACATTATTAGGTAATGCTTTATGTGGTGCTTGTATTTTAGATAAGAACGAACTGAGAGAAAATATTTTTCTTTTTGGCTTGTCAGTGTACTTGAGAATTTTCATAATGCTTCTCAACTTTCTGAAGGTTATGACTTGGGTATTTAAATATTTATGCAGTAAGAAAAAAATCAAACCAGAAAGAGTTTGTCTGAAACACGTATCTACTACTAAAGCTCTTATCCCTAGTGATTGAAATGTATCACGGTTAGGAGTGACTAAAACCAGGATTTTAAATGGCAAGTGTGATGGGTGATTGCTACAAGACATGCTGATTAAGTACAGATAGTTTGATTATTTTTATTTAAAGAATTGGTTTAAGGTGTTCTCAAAGACTGATACTACTAGGCTCTTTCCTAATTCAAGATCAAGCACCTGATCTCAAATAACTGTCAGAATTTAAAGGCAGAACATGTTCTGGGGTTTGTTTTAGTCAGTAGTTTTGTTTGTTACGCTTCAACTTGACTGGCACGAGGTGGCAGCACTCTCATCTCGTAGCCCTCATCCTGAAATCCCTAAATACAGCTCTAAGTAAGGTGGGAATTAAATTCAGGTCAGAGCTGGCTTTCTGCTTCCAAGCACTGTGGAGCTTAGATTTAATACAGAGGTTGTTTTTGTTTGATGCTAGATATAAAAACATTTCATCACTCAACATTTTTCAGATAATTTACTTTCCTGAAGGATATGTCACTGAGTGTAGGGTATGAATGTTTGAAGTAGGATGTTTTTTGAGACTGGCAGTTTTCTGGTAGCTGTCCTGAGACAGAGAGAAAAGTACAGTTAGGAGAATCTATGGGGCTGTCTTATGGGTCTGTTCCCTTCCACCTTGTTTTCTTTTTTTGTGTTTGGTAACCTAGTTAAAGAAAATGAAAGCTGCTGTCAAGAGACTTTCCTTTGCTAACACAAAATGTAGGTGTTCACATGTAATACTTTGTTTCACTTTCTTTTACTTAAGCTTTGTATTACTCTTTTAGGAAGTATTCTAGTAGTAACTTTGGTAACCTTGTTTCCTTTTTGTATATGTTCACACATGTGCATGTATTAACAACAGTAATGGAAGGATTCAAAAGTCACAAGAATAACAAAGTCCAAGAAAATTATGAAATCCCAGTGGGCAAATGAAATAGATAGTACAACATTCTTCACCAAGAAATTTTGCAAAATACAAATGACGGTTCTGAGCAGAAACAGAACTGAAGGAACCTCTGCTCTGCAGGAATGAATATAATTTGTTGCAAAAGAGGCAGCAACAGCATCTACTAAATCAGAATCGGTAGTCCTGGATGATTTGTACCCGAAACTTCTTAGAGAAGCTAGATAAAGGAAGTAAGAAAGCACCCTAATCCATCATTCATTTACTTCTTACTGCTCTTGGAAAGTAGAAAATGTTCAAAATGATTGAGAAATTGCTAATTTAGTTACAAATCCTAAAAAACAAAAAAAACCCACTCCAAAACTCCAAACAAACAAAACCCAAAACCAAAAAAAAAAGCCAAAACCAAAAACCATACAAAAAATGCCCAAACCAAAATAAAAAAAAAAACCCTCAACCGAACAAACAAAAATCAACAACCCCAGAACTTCAACAGCCAAGTTAAGCATCGTGCCTGTGAAATAAGAGAGTTGCTAATTTGCTATGGGTATTGCCAGTTGTTACAGTTTTATGGTAGATAGTTTTTCTTGGACTGTAGGTTTTTGAGATATCTGCAGTTTGGGGGATTATTATAATAATTGGTTCACTGACCTGAACATTTGTTTATACTTCTGTTTGCTGTTAAGTGAAAGGTTTGCTTCCCTAGAGGGAAGATGTTTGGTCAAAGGCTGTAATTTTATCAGCTATGTAGTTGATGATAAAGTAAAGCTTGAAATTGATACAAAAAATTACTTAGAGCATTAGAAGCATTGAATTTATGAAAAGGCAAGGTAAATAATACTGCTCTGAATTATCCGTTTAAATTGTTACAGTCAAATCACATTTGAATCTAGACTAGTACAGATTGTACGAAGAGTTGAGAGATCTTGAAAGAAAAATAATAAAGAAACACTCTTGGGATGCGTTAGGAAAATTATGTATCGCAATCAGTCTGTGTTCTTAGCACATTGCTGTAGAAAACAGACGGTTGATAGTCCTTGGCTCTGTGTAAAGGGCAACATCACCATAGAGGTAGAGATACTGTTGTGGGTTTATGTGGCTTTAAAATGCTCTGTCCAGTTCTGTTTGTATTCCAGAAGATATGGAAATATTAGACAGCTCAAAACAAGCCATAAAAATGATCCATGTTTTGGAAAAACTTAAACATGGTTTGATTGCCTATGACTAACTCTCTACTGAAGAAAGTACTGAGAGGTGACTTACTTGTTTTGAATAGTTACTTACACATGGAAAAGGTATGTGGTGCTGGGGGATTTGTAGACCTTGTTAAAGTTATAGCTAGATCCAGTTTCTGGTTGTTCTAGTGGCACAAGTTGAGTGCTGAAGTAAGTTTTCTCTGAACTGTGTTGAGGGTATTTCAGTGTTTTAGACAGGTTTTTTGTTGGGTTTTTTTTAAATGTTGTTTTTGTTCCTCTTTGAGAAGAAGAGATGGACTTGAGGGTAAATTGTCATTGGGGTCTTTCTTGCATATCAGTGTTTCCCCTTAGTACTGCTGTTTTTTCTTCTTCTGTGGGCCTTGGCGAGAACGAGAAAAAGCCTTTGTTGTCCTTAATAGGTTCATAAGTCTTGCAGCTTGTCATTAGAGTGCTTATAATGTTTTGCAGTGTTTTTTCTGTTAGACATGACAGAACCAGTTTGTGTATTTTTCTTCCATTTTCTCCATCTGAAGCACTTGTGGTTAACCACAGCTGGAGGCACAGCTCTGACAGTTGGGCAAATGTTAAAGTGTTATCAAAAGATTTGCTACATAAATATCTGACTAGCACTTCTTATTCAGAAATCAGTCAGGAAAGAAACTTACAAAGGTAAAAATTTTTATCAATTTCTGGTTTTCAGCTTTCTATGTAAAGTCTGTCAGACTTCTGAGGCTCTTGAAAACACTCTCTCCTCTGCTTGTCTACTAGTCACAGATGCTGCTCCTTCCCAACACCATTAAGTGTTATTCTTCCCTGGTAACCATTTCTCTCTACCTAATCAGATTAAGATCTTAGTGCTGCCATTGATCAATCATACCACAAACTGGCTTTCACTTTATGATCCCACTTACTAGTAGAAGTTCGTTGCCAAGATAAACAATTTGCCAAACAGCTTTGAAAAACAGCCTTCAGGAGGAGACTATGGTAACATGCTACATGGGAGAGTCAGGAATGAGTTACCTTATGTGTTGTGGTCTAATTAGCTTTTGTTTTATTCTTCTGTAAATTAGGACCTTAGGCTTTTATATTTCCTGGTTACATGTAAATTAAATATTTTGTTTTCTAGATATTTCTAAATAGTCAACTTTTAGCAGTGTGGAAAATACTGGTATTAATAAATACTTTTTTTTCCCCTGTGGGTATAATTCTGTTAATAGTAATAATAATGATTATTTGCAATTGTTTCTATTAGTTCAACTCTGTAATCTATTGTGGTGTTATAAACAATGAATACAGCCCTGAAAAAGACCATTAAATAGATGAAATAATGGAAAACAATTGTGTTCGTTGTTGTTGCTTTCCCCACTGGACTTTCAGAATTATATAAACCAGCAAGTTAAAATAGGATTTCTATAGCAGAAATATTCCTGGACATGAAATTAAAATAAATATGTAGGGCTGCTGGGTTTTTTATGCTGATTTAGGGCTGTGAAACAACATGGGAAACCTAGAAACAGGCTTTCCTGAGGCAGGCATAAGCTGTTCGGATCAGGAAGGAGGCAATTGGTAGAAAACTGTGAAACAAAAAATATTCATCTTATTATTTCTGAGGAGATAGAGGGTTAAAAGCTTCCAGTACTTTCTGTAGTCTCTCCTTGAAAAAAGTTCCTTTTTTTTTTGTTTTGTTTTTTTTTTTTTTAATTCTTTTTAGATCTTTTCTAGCAGACCGAAATGTTAGTCGAGCTAACTTGTGAGGAATGCAGAGTTAGGACAGAAACAATAGCTTTACTTACAAGTAGAATTGCAGGTCAGAGGGCAAAAATTCTCAAATTGTAGAGCTCCTTTTCAGTACTGAATTCCTAATACATCGTATTATTATATTATTTTCTACTGCAAAAAGGAATGCTGGCACTCAAACTAATGGTGGTTTGTGTACACTGGCCCTTACACTTTTTGATAATAATAGTAAAACATATGCATTGATAACATTTTTATTTAGAAATATTTACTTTTTATTTTATCTTAATTATACAATTTAAAACAAATGAATTGTTTGAGCTACTGCAATAAAAGATCTCTCACAAAGGTCTGCGTTGTTGGACGCTTTTGTTGGAAGGTTTGTCTGTTTCTTTTTTTAATTTTCTTCTCACACTCAGAGATATGCCTGGCATTTTGGAGAGAATATGCACAGCCTTTAACCTAGTGACAGAAGAGAACATATTTGCATATTAGAAACCTTTTCTCCAGCTGCTTCTAAAAGGAAGAAAAATCTTTGCATAATCAATGAAACTATTGAAAGCTCATTCTTATATACTTTATTACACAGACTTTTACAATGTTTTACTGTCCATGGATGAATATCTGGGGCCTTTCCTTCCTGCCTCTGAAATGTAATATACTCAAACTAAATTTTTCCCATTAACATTTTATTTGGTTATGCACGAGAAATGTTTCCAATGAGGAGGTGAGCAATTTGTGCTAATTCACATAGGTGTGCTCTAGTAGTACATACTATAAAATAATTTCAAAGTCTCATAGTTTTTTATGATA